GAGAACGGAGTGTCCCCACGTGCTAGTAATTGTTGTTGTTGTTGTTGTTGTTGTTGTTGTTGTTGTTGTTGTTGTTGTTGTTGTTGTTGAACATTATTACTTCTAAAGAATAATTATTGTTGGGGCCCCTGGTGCACGACCCCCCCGCCGCGCCTAGGCCGCAGCCACATTTTCATCATTTTCGTGAGGAAGTCTCAGGCAAAACGGGGGTCCGGATCCGGTTGTTTTGTTACGGCCCGCTTTCCCTTGCAAAAATAAACTAAAGTGGACATTTCTTGTTCTAACATAACCAAACTTCAAGAATCCCTTGCAAAAAATAAGGTAAAGTGGACATTCGCGCGCGCAAGACGAAATCCTTCCAAAACTCCAGTTTTCGTAGCGTCAAATTTCATCCCGCGCGCTCTTGCGGATTCGTAGGAAACCCAACACTTTTTAAACATTTCTGTCAAACGGGCTTTTGCGAGCAACTTTTTCGAACTTCTGCAACAACGGTTGCGCACCTGCCAGGGCCATCATCCCTGTCAAATAATACCATGCGGGACACATTCGTTTTTTCTTCGCGCGCGCACGCCGTCGTCGTCGGCCGCGGGGCCCTGAATAGTAGCCACGGTCGTCCGCATGCCACGAAGTGAAGTGTCCGAACGTCATAGGGCGGGAAGCTGGGTGTGGGTGGTGGCGAAGAGTCGTTTGGAAATTTGGTAGAGCTTGAACCGGCCCCCCCACAAAGTGGGGGTATTGCCCGCTTCCTATGAAAACCCTGGCACTGGTGAGAACGGAATGTCCCCACGTGCTAGTAATTGTTGAACATTATTAATTCTAAAGAATAATTATTGTTGGGGCCCCTGGTGCACGGCCCCCCTGCGCCGCCTAGGCCGCAGCTACATTTTCATCATTTCCGTGAGGAAGCCTCAGGTAATTCGATGTGATCAAGATCCGGTTGTTTTGTCCCCCCCCGCTTTCCCTTGCAAAAAACACTATAAAATGACATTTCTTGTTCTAATATAATCAAATTTCAAGAATCCCTTGCAAAAAAATTAAATAAAAGGTAAGTGGACATTCCCTTCCGCAGCGCGCAAGCCCGAATCCTTCAAAAAGCTTAGTGTTTCGGAGCGATTGTTAAAAAAAAACAACATAAAACAATAAAAACCACTGGTTTTTTTCAACAAAAAATAATGGTCCACAAAATCTCTCCCGCGCGCTCTGCGGATTCGTAGGAAAAAACCAACACTTTTTAAGAAAGAGCATTTTTCTGTCAAACGGGCTTTTGCGAGCAACTTTTTCTAACTTCTGCGACAACGGTTGCGCACCTGCCAGGGCCATCATCCCTGTCAAATAATACCATGCGGGACACATTCGTTTTTTCTTCGCGCGCGCACGCCGAAATCTCCAAAAAACCATTGGGCTTCTTAAGAATTTTAGCACCGCGCATCATAAAATCACACGAATCGCACCGTAGGTCCTCGAAAAACACCTGTGTATTCCCATCATCCCAGGAACTTGACCCAAAAATGTGACCAACTCCGCTCTCTCTGTCTCTCTCTCTGTCTGCTCTCTGTCTCTCTCTCTGTCTCTCTGTATTATGTATTGTATGGCACAATTGCACCATGCTGGGCACATGCGCGCCCCGAATAAGTGACCAAGTTCTGTGGGTGTGTACCCCGCGCCAGTGTAGTAGCCACGGTCGTCCGCACGCCACGAAGTGAAGTGTCCCAACGTCATAGGGCGGGAAGCTGGGTTTGGGTGGTCGCGAAGAGTCGTTTGGTTATTTGGTAGAGCTTTGGTAATAAATGTAATAATGCCCCCCCACGAAGTGGGGGTATTGCCTGGTGTCGTATGAAAACCCTGGCACTGGGGAGAACACCACGCGTTCGGGTAAAATGATTGTTGTTGTTGTTGTTGCTGCTGTTGTTGTTGTTGTTCTTGTTGTTGTTGTTGTCGTCGCCGTTGTTGTTGTTGTTGTTGTTTGTTGTCGTTGATGTTGTTGCTGTTGTAGTAGTAGTTGTTGTTGTCGTCGTCGTTGTTGTTGTTGTTGAACATTATTTCTTCTTAAGAATAATTATTGTTGGGACCCCTGGTGCATGGCCCCCCCGCCGCGCCTAGGCCGCAGCCTCATTTTCATCATTTTCGTGAGGAAGTCTCAGTCAAAACGATGTCATCCAGATCCGGTTGTGTTGTTACGATCGGTTTTCCCTTGCAAAAATAAGCTAAAGTGGACATTTCTTGTTCTAACATAACCAAACTTCAAGAATCCCTTGCAAAAAATAAGGTAAAGTGGACATTCGCGCGCGCAAGACGAAATCCTTCCAAAACCTTAGTTTTCGTAGCGATTTTAACCTACAAACAAAACATTTTTTTTTTCTTCAAAAAAAAAAAAAAAAAAAAACAAAAAAAAAAAAAAAAAAAACAATATGTCAAAACTTTCATCCCGCGCGTGCACCAGGATCTGGATTGCGTGAGGAAAAACCGGAAACTCTTTTTAATCATTCTGTCCAAACCGGAAACTGGGCTTTTGTGGGAGAGGCACACTTTTTCCGAACTTCTGCAACAAACGGTTGCGTCACCTGCCCAGGCCAATTCTATCCCTCAAATAAATACCCATGGCGGGACACGATTCGTTTTTTTTCTCTTCCTTTTCTTCGCGCGGCGCACGGCTCGTCCCCCCGGGGGGTTGGTTTGTTCGGTCGGCCGCGGGCCCTGAATAGTAGCCACGGTCGTCCGCATGCCACGAAGTGAAGTGTCCGAACGTCATAGGGCGGGAAGCTGGGTGTGGGTGGTGGCGAAGAGTCGTTTTGTTTGGTAGAGCTTGAACCGGCCCCCCCACAAAGTGGGGGTATTGCCCGCCTCCGATGAAAACCCTGGCACTGGTGAGAACGGTGTGTCCCCACGTGCTAGTAACTGTTGTTGTTGTTGTTGTTGTTGTTGTTGTTGTTGTTGTTGTTGGCTGCTGCTGATTATTGTTGGACCCATTATAGGCGCCCTGGCGCTCGCGCCGAGGCGCCGGCTACATTGACAATGAAGCTCACGCTCGAGCGGTTTGGGGGACCGCCAAAGACGGCCCCCAACAACAACAACGCTACCGCTCGAGACGTCCTCCTTTTTTTTTTTTACTCAGGGCTGGTGTTTCTGCTCGCCGCCGAAAGCCGCCGTCCTAACAAAACTAGAGCTCCCGCTCGAGACTTCCTCCCGTTTTACCTTGGACTGGCGCGCTAGTCTTTCTCTCGTCGGCGCCGCCCCCAGCAGACCGAAGTGCAACTCATCAGACCCACCGCCAACTTTGAATATTGGGGGGAGGGGGAGGCGTTCACAGATTTTGTTTTTTTGGTTTTCCCGAGGCCCGATTCCCGTGCCCGAGCGCCGAGACCGGGATGAGCGCCGCGAGCGCCCGCGAGGGCGAGCGGGTGGCCCCCCAGTTGTGCGGAGGCCCGGGGAGGCCGCAGCCGCTCAGAGCGCGACGGCGTGCGAGGCAGAGTCGCTGGACGACGTGCGCTTCCGAGGCACCGCGGGGGCGCGTCTGCACGAGTCAGGTTCTGATGCGCATGTGGTTCACGTTGCCAGTCTTTTTGCCGATGCGCCGTCCAGGCGCGGCTCTGTGTGTGTGTGTGTGTGGCAGAGTCGACTGACTACACGTAAGAGTGACCCTTCGCCGGAGTGACCTCGGGTGCGGGCCCGTCGGGGTCCCCCCGGTCGCTCAGCGTGATGCGATGGCGGCCGCTTGCGCGCTTGGATTTGGCCACCTCGTGCCCCCCTTCGTCCGCGCACCAAAGGTCACCCTTGCCCAGGGTCGCTGTAGCCGACAGAGGCAGTGCGCATCAGCGTGGGGTTAATCGGGACAAAGAGCGCTCAGACGTGGAAGAGTACCGCGAAGAGCAGGCCAGAGCGGCCAGCCAGGGCAAGAGGGTAACAAAACACACAAACATTAAGCGTCGTCGATTCCCGGGAGAAGATGGGAAGCTATGGGAAGTTTGGGGGAAGACGAACGTTGAGAAAACACATGCGGGGATAAGGGGGAACCCTGGGATTTGTATCTCTTTTTGTCTATTTGTGTGTGTGTGTGTCTCCCTGGGCCCCTTTAGGGTGGGGCGTCTCTCGCCCTGCCGAGCTCGGGACGCACTCCGAGCCCGCGAGCGAACGGTGACTCCATTTGGGGGCTGGGGGCAGCCACTTGGGATGTCGAGCTTCTTGGACCAGAAACCCGCGACGGCCACAAATCTAATATCCTCCCTCCCTCTCCCCTCCTCCCTCGTGCCCCGCGAGGGCAGGAGGGCAGACTGAGTGAGTGTGTGTGTGTGTGTGTGTGTGTGTGCGTGTCCGTTTAGCTAGTTCCCCGCCAGCGCAGTTGCTCTGCCTAGCCGCCGACGCATGTGTGTGTGTGTGTGTGTGTCCCCCTCGTTTTCCCCTCTTCGCTTTTCGGCGCCCCCGTCTAGTTTTTTCGCTGGTGCAGCCAACTCTTGCCTCGCCGCCGACGAAACCAACAAAATGCGTGGGTGGTAGAATTCCTGACGCTCAGACGCAGCTGCATGTTCCCCTCCGACACTCCCGTGCCGGCCTTCAAGGTCTGGTCGGGCCTTTCTTTCCTCTTCTCGTTTTCTTTCTATTCCGCTTTCGCGCCTCAATTCGCTTCCGGTGCTTCCCACCGCTCGTTTTGACCGGCGCCTGACCGTCTTGCACCACCTGGCGCCCGCGGGCTCAGCAAGTATGGGAGAATCGATCGTCGAGTGCAGCCCAACTCGTGGGCCCACCCGCCCGTGCTTCGGTTGCCAATCTTTAGAACAGGCTGGATGAGGAGGATGACCTCGCTGGATGAGGAGGATGACCTCCCCCAAATGGGGATTCGTAAGAAGGGTGAAAGTGTACGGCCATCGTGACGCTGCTTGCCGATTCTCTCAGGATCACTCACATTCCACAGCAGCCACAACGCATGCCGACCGGTCGTGCGTTCAATCGGAATAGCGTGATGCGCTGTGGTGTCAGTGCCGTGGCAGATCCTGTGCTTCCCTCAGGAGGTCAACGTCCTGGTCTTCTACAGCCAGCCAGAGAACGGCTGCTACGACCTGTTCGTTGGTCCTGGCAACATCACCGCGGACACAAGCATTTCCCCGAAACAGGGCAATGCCCAGGCTGTGTGCTTCACCGCCAGGATGCTACCCTTCCCCTCCGCCTGTCTGGCTGGGTGCTAGCTTTCTGGCAGATTGTTGGCGTGTCTGCTTGCGCTCCACCCGGTGTGTACTGAATCAGACCCTGACGGTTCAGGAGGAGGAGGAGGAAGAGGAGGAGGATGAGGATAATGATGATGATGATGATGATGATGATGATGATGATGATGATGATGATGATGATGATGATGATGATGATGATGATGATGATGATGCTGATGATGATGATGATGATGACGATGATGATGATGATGATGATGATGATGGAAAAATTTGATGAAGATGATGCTGATGATGATGATGATGATTGATGATGATGGATATGATGATGATGATGATTATGATGATGAGGAGGAGGAGGAGGAGAGAGGGAGGAGAAGGAGGAGGAAGGAGGAGGAGGAGGAGGAGGAGGAGGATAGACCCTGGGACCTTGTCTTAAAACCGCCGATGAAAAACCTAGAGCTCGGCTGAGGGGTCGCAGGGCAGAAAGTAATCGTGGCGTGGAGAAACACGCTTGAGACAGTCAGTCTGTGGGCGGATGGGGGGAAGGCGAGGAGGACGACGGCGTGAGCCATGAGCATGCGCCCGCGCGTCCTGCTTCTTGCTGTCGAGATCAGGCCGCGCCGTACTTGGGCCCTCCAGGCAGCTTTCCGGCAGGCCAGCCGGAGCGCATACTCGCGAGGTGACATCCTGGTCAGAACGAGGTTCAGTCTGGGGAGTAGTGGTATCGGTGTCGTAGGTTGTGGGGTTCGACTGGAGTGACCCCGACCGGAAATCGGTTTCGGTTTCGGTTCGTGTCGCGGGTGTGGGTGAGGCGACGCTGCGTGCGGTCGAGGGGCGATGCCAATCCTAGCCTAGATGGGGGGGGCACAGGAACACATCTCCGTGCGGCCACGCGGTGACTGGGTTGTTCCGTGGTTGCCCCGCGGTTGTCCCGAGTCGGCGGAAGGTGGTTCGGGTTGCGCCGCGGGTGTGCATGTATGTATGTATGTATGCATGCATGCATGCATGCATGTATGCATGCATGCATGTATGTATGTATGTACGTATGCATATATGTATGTATGTATGTAATGTCATGTAATGTAGTATAATGTATTGTAATGTAATGCCCTATAATGTAATGTGATGTGATGTGATGTGAAGTGATGTATGTATGTATGTATGCCTGCCTGCCTGCCTGCCTGCATGCATGCATGCATGCACATATGTATGTACCTATGTATGAATGTGTACGTATGCATTTACGTATGAATGTACGTATGGAAGTATGTATGCATGTATGTATGCATGCATGCATGTATGCATATATGTATGTATGTATGTATGATTGTGTGGATGTATGCATGCATGCACGTACGTATGTATGTATGTCTGTGTATGCTGTATGTATGCATGATGTATGTATGCGTGCATGTATATATGTATGTATCTATGTATGTATGTATGTATGTAATGTATGTATGTATGTATGTATGTATGTATGTATGTATGTATGTATGTATGTATGTATGTATGTATGTATGTGTGTGCATGTATGTATGTATGTCTGTATGCATACATATGTCGGTATGTGTGTATGTATGCGTGTATGCATGTATGCATGTATGCATGCATGTATGCATGCATGTATGCATGCATGTATGCATGTATGCATGTATGTATGTATTCATGCATGCACGCATCTATGCATGTATGCATGCACGCATGAATGCAACATGTGTGTATGTATGTATGTATGTATGTATGTATGTATGCATGTATGCATGCATGCATGCATGCATGCATGCACACATGTATGTATGTAGCACTGTATGTAGGTAGGTATGTATGCATACATTTATGTACATACGCATTCGTGCATGTATGTATGTATGCATGCATGTATATATGGATGCATGCATGTATGTATGTATGCATGTATTCACACTGTATGTATGTATGTATGTATGTATGTATGTATGTATGCATGCATGCATGCATGCATGCATGTATGTATGTATGTATGTATGTATGTATGTATGTATGTATGTATGTATGCAGATATGTATGTATGTATGTATGCATGCATGCATGCATGTATGTATGTATGTATGTATGTATGTATGTATGTATGTATGTATACTTGCATATATGTATGTATGTATGTATGTATGTATGTATGTATGTATGTATGTATGTATGTGTATGTATGTATGTATGTATGTATGTATGTATGTATGTATGTATGTATGTATGTATATTATATATATATATATATATATATACATATGGGAGATCCCGGGCCCCGGGCCCCGGGCCGGAACCTCCCTTGTATATAGGGTGCGGCCCTCTCCCGGGGCGCCCTTCCGGCGGCCCCCGCGCGTTCCAGCCCGCCCAAGAGGGCTTCAGGAGCGCCGAGAGAACCCCAGGATCGCTTCAAGACCGCCACAGATCGCTTCCAGAAGGGTCAAGACGCGCTCAAACCGCCCCAAGAGGGCTTCAAGAGGCCCCCCACGAGCGCCCCGGGAGACCAAAATGGCCCCATTTCTTTGTAAAACGTACATTTTTACGATATCAGCTCCCTTAGCTGTCGGAGCGGCCCGAAAGCCCCACGAGGCGCCCAAGGACGCTCCAGGACGACTGAGGACAGCCCCAAGACGGCCCAGGAGGCCCTCCCGGGACGCTCCTCTGGCGGCCCCCGGGCTGCCCAGTCCGCCCAAGAAGGCTCCAAGAGCGCCGAGAGAACCCCAGGATCGCTTCAAGACCGCAAAAGATCGCTTCCAGAAGGGCCAAGAGGCCATCAAACCGCCCCAAGAGGCCTCCAAGAGGCCCCCCAAGAGCGCCCCGGGAGACCAAAATGGCCCCATTCCCTTCGTAAAACGTACATTTTTAGGATATCAGCTCCCTTGGCTGTCGGAGCGGTCCGAAAGCCCCACGAGGCGCCCTAGGATAGCCCGAAGACAGCCCAGGAAGGCCTCCCGGGACGCTCCTCGGGCGGCCCCCGGGCCTCCCAGTCCGCCAAAGAAGGCTCCAAGAGCGCCGAGAGAAGCCCAGGATCGCTTCAAGACCGCCAAAGATCGCTTCCAGAAGGGACAAGAGGCCATCAAACCGCCCCAAGAGGCCTCCAAGAGGCCCCCCAAGAGCGCCCCGGGAAACCAAAATGGCCCCATTCCCTTCGTAAAACGTACATTTTTAGGATATCTCATCCCTTGGCTGTCCGAGTTGTCAGACAGCCCCAGGAGGCGCCCAAGGACGCCCCAGGACGCCTGAGGACAGCGCTAAGAGGGCCTAGGAGGGCTTCCTGGGACGCTCCTCGGGCGGCCCCCGGGCCTCCCAGTCCGCCCAAGATGGCCCAAGAGACTTCCCGGTCGCCCCGAGAGGGCCCCCGGAGCGCTCCGATACGGCCCAACATGGCCTCCAGAAGGGCCACGAGGCCGTCAAGACGCCCCAAGAAGGCTCCAAGAGGCCTTCCAAAAGGGCCCCGGAATCGCCACGGAATCGGACCCGTGCTTGCGAACACCGTTTTCGGAGCAAACTAGAACCTAAGCGCGCGCGAAGCGCGCGCGTGGTTCTAGTATATATATATATATATATATCTATTCGGAAGGGCTCGAAACGTCCGTTCGGGTTGGGTGCCTCTTGAGCCGTCTTGGGGGTTTCTTGAGCCGCCTTGGGGTCTTGTTGGGGCGTCTTGGGGCCCTCCTCGGGGCCTCCCTGGCAGTCCTGGGGCGCTATTGGGAGCTTCTTGGGCCGCTGCCTTGGAGCGTTAAAAATTGAAAAGGTGAGAAGGCTAAGACTATTTAGATCTTCGGATCATCAATGATCTTGGCCTCTTGGGGGTTCTCTGAGTGCCCCCTTGGAGCTTCTCAGGGACCCCGATGGTTGCCTGCAAGCCATCTTGAGGACCTGGGGAGTGACCTCGGGGCGGCTTGAGGCTCTATTCGGGCCGTCTTCGCGGCCTCCTCGGTCCCTCCGAGCCCGTCCTCGGGACCCTCCTGGCTCCCAGAAGACGCACGCGACACCCCAAGAGCTCCCTGGAGCTCCCGGGAATTCCCGGGAGCGCCTGGAAAGCAGGGTGTCCAGGCCTTTTAAGAATCTAGAATCCTGGCTGCAGCAGCCGCAGCAGCGCAGCTGTGAGCCTTGCGGCACTCCACTTTGTACCAAGGACATGGTGACGGATCTAAACATGTACTTCGACTTTTATGAGCCCTTACCTGTTTATGCACGTACACAACGCAACTGCACATGCACATTTACGCATGTATCATGTAAGCGAGCACGTATACAATTCGCATACACATGTGGATGCTACGTTCATGTGTACATGCATGCGCCCAGGTAAGCTCGCTGACCAGTGTACATAGTTGATGTATGTGTGTGTGTGGGTGGGTGCGTGTGCGTGTGTGCGTGTGTGTCTGTGTGTGTGCTTGTTTATGTGCAACACGGTATACGTGCTTACGTGTTTACATGTTGCACATGTGTGCGGGTGTGAAAAGAGGCGTATACATGCACATCCGTATACTCAGGGCATGTACGCATGTATGTATGTCATGCATGCATGCATGCATGCATGCATGTATACATTCATGCATGTATGTATGTAGGTGGACCCTATTACATACGACAATGTAGAGACACAGTCTGATGTATATGCACTGGGTTGTAGCCTAGAGGCCTCTTGAGTGCCCGAGGGGAGGTCTTGGGAGATCTTGTGGACGCTTCCTGGAGGCGATCTTGGATGTCTTGGGAGCCTCTCGAGGTCCTCTTGGGGGCCCACTGTGGCCTGATTTGGGCCTCTCGGGGACATCCTGGAGCTTCTGGGAGCCTCCTGGGGGCCCACCGGCGGTCTCGAGGGTCATCCCGGGGCGGAGGGCTCGAAAGGTCGGTTCGTTCCGGGAATCGGGGCTGTGGGGCTCGTGCAAATACAGGGAATTCGGTTGGGTCTGCTGTTGTGGATACGTGCGCACATATGTATGTATGCATGTCTGTACGTATTCATATATATATATATATATATATATATATATATAGATGTGTGTGTGTGTGTGTGTGTATGTACGTACATGCGTACGTATGTATGAAAGTACGCGTGCATGGTATGTAAAGGTATGGTCTGGTATGGTATCGTATGTCATGTAATAACATGTACTGTAATGTAGTGTATTGTGAGGTATATGCATGCATGTATGTATGGATGTAGGTATGTATGTGTGCATGCATGTATGTATGTATGTATGTATATGTATATATATATGTATGTATACATGCGTCTACGTGTGTCTGTGTGTTTGTGTGTATGTGTCTATGGATGTACATGTATGTGTGTGTATGCGTGTGTATGTATGTATGCATGCATGCGTGTATGTATGTATATGCGCATTTTTTGTTGTATATACGGATGTTCCTCTGTATGCATGTATGTATGCATTTGTGTATGTATGTATGCATGAATGTATGCAGGCATGCATATCTGTATGCATGTGTCTATGTACGTACGCATGCATGCAGGTATGTATGTTAATCGGTATGTGCGTCTGTATGCATTGCTGTATGTCTGTCTGTATGTGTACATGTGTGTATGTACGTATGTAGTTTTTGCATGCATGTATGTATGGATGGATGCATTTATGTACGTATGTAGACATGTATGCATATATTTGTATAGTATATATATATATGCATACATGCCTGTCTGCATACATGTATGTACATTCATGCATACAAATGTATATATATATACATGTATAACAGCATTTATGCATGTATGCATTCATGCATGTGTGCATATATGCACGCATACATGTATGAATGCACGCATGTGTGTATATATGTATGTGTGTATGTATGTGTGTATATACTACTGTTTATGTTAATGTATATACACATGCACGGTCGACTATCAAATTAGTGTATCCACCCATGGTTACACGTGTGTGTACAGATGCGTGTATTTATTGCGTGCATGTATGCATGCACGTACGTACTGCGTGCACGTACCAGTTTATTTGCACATATGCTAACCGCAATCATATATGTATTTATGCACGCACACAATGTGTGCAGGTATGTACATATGCATGCACGCATCTCTATATATATGTATGTATGTGTATATATATGTATATATATACACATATAGATATAGATATGCGTGGCGGCCTTTCTTGCCCCCCCCCTTCGGCGGAGCCCCATTGTTTTCCGAGTGGCATCTTTTCTTTTTTCCTCCCACTCCTCCCCTCCTGCTCCTCCTCCTTCTACCTCCACACCCGTCTCTGCGGGAGGGAGGAGACACATAGAGACAGAGAGAGAGGGGGAGAGAGAAGGAGAGAACGAACGATCTGGCGAGATTGAATTCCGTTTTCTGAGCTGCGGAAAACAAGACCAATGGGTGCATTAAGACGTGCACCGCTGTACTGGCGCCAACATGTTCCGTTTTAGCGTGCGTATGACGGTTCGCTGTGAGGGGAACAATCTACCTTGCAATTGGTGTGCCAATGCGAGTGCATTGTCGTCGGCGCCAACGTAGCTCATACCCCGCAACGGCTTACAAATGCCACCACGGCGCAACGCGGGATTTGCGCAACGCTCCATCTTCATGGGGCACGAAACACTGTCCAAACCATAGACGCACCAACAACAAGTCCCCTATCGACAACATTCGGAGTGGCCAGCGCGAAATAAACGCAACGGCCTACCAATTTGTTACCACGGCGCAGTGCGGAAGATAGGAAACGCTGCAGCTGCACGGAACATGAACAAACAAGCAACCCACAACCTCACCAAACACACATTCCCCCTCGATCACCCTCGAACGAGCGAGCGCAAAATGAACGCAACGGTGTACCAAGTGGCGACCACGATGCATCGCGAGATCTGCAAGGACGCTGCAGCTTCCTGAGGCGCGAAAAGCAATTCAACCTGCAACCGCACCGAAAACACATTCCCCCTCGATTACGCTCGTACTGGCGAGCGCGACATTCACGCAACGGCCTACCAACAACGCAACCACGGCGTAGGGCAAGCTTCCGTCACTCCTCCCTCATCTTTGCTTACTCAGGCCCTCAGAAACCCATTTTTTGAAACATTGCGAGCGGTTCCCTGCTTCAAAACGCACACCAAAAACGTTGTATGAAGGCTAGCCCTTGCCACTCCTCCCTCTTCCTGCCTTGCTTACACCCGGTTCCCTGAAACATTGAGAGCTTTTCCTGCTTCAAAACGCAAGCAAACAAAATTATATTAATGTGAGACTTGGCCACTCCTCCTTGTCTCATGCCGCTCCTCCTCCTCAGCCCTCTTCGGATGCATGAGGAGGGGAGGAGAGGGGAGGGAGGAGGAGGAGGAGGAGGAGGAGGAGGAGGAGGAGGAGGATAAAGAGGGAGGAGAATCAGGAAAACCTGGCTAATTCTATAAGGCGTAGAATATTCAATAACACTCCATCGAGAGTATGGATATTTTCTATGAGTTCTATAAAAGCATCGGTTTTCCAAGCCATCTGAGGGGCGAGGGGGTGGTGCGTGTCGGGCACGGTTGATGGTTAGGAAAACTTATGATTTTATGGAACCTGCAGAAATAGCAATATTGTGTGTGTATAAAAATATGGGATTCATTGAAATAGCAAGGATTTCTCGCTTCTGATATAATCGATCAGCTTTCCAGTTCGACTCGTCTTGCGAGCGCACCGTGGAGGACGAATTTAATTAATCAAGCATTCTCCGACACCTAGCTGAGAAACGCCCAACACCGTTCAGTCGCAACCGCCCAGTCGCACAGTGTCACATATATGTATTTTCATATGATGTACATTAGGATGTCTCTTGCGAGGAGGCTTCATATGGATTGGGGCAAGGACAGCCGCCTCCCCCCCCCACACACATATACATACATGTGTGTATGTAAATATTCCCATATGTATGTGTGTGTATATATGCATGTGTATATATATATATACGTATGTGCATGCGTGTATGCCAATACGTCTCTATTTGCGAATGTAGGTTTTGCGTATGTATGTAGGTTTCGGCTTGCATGGTATGGTATGTACGTGCGCACGCATGCACGCACGTACGTCCACACACTCGTGCGTTGAAGCGTGTGTCACATCTGCATCATCGATGGTTCCCCCAACATCCTTATCTTCCGTAGAACAGTTCTATACATATACATAGGTGTATGTGTGTGTGTGTGTGTGCGTGTCCTCCCAGCGCCCACATCGGTGCCCCCGAGCAGGGGGCACCGATGTGGGCGCTGGGCATCGATATGGGCCCAGCCCATCCCCAGACGAGGAACCGCTTCGCGGTGCTTCAGCACAGCGGCTCAATCGGCATCTACAACTTGCAGAACGAGCTCTCCAAGAAGTTCGACCCCCCCGTGAGCACGGACCGCCACGCTTAGTAGTGTGCACGCGGATTCTCTCGGCACGCGCCCGTTGGGGAAGAGAGAGTCAAGGAAGCAGAGCTGGTGCGGGAGCGCGAGGGCGAGCTGCGGGACAACACGGCACGCGGGGGAGGGAATCGTGGGGAGATTGTGCAGTGGTGTGGTAGCCGAAGCAGAAAACGTTAGATTCCTAAACTTTTGGCGCTCCGCGCGGATTTCTTGGATCCGCGCTGGGCCCCTGGCGCGCTCCGCGCGCCAGGGCGGGGGGGGGGGCAGCGCGGATCCAAGAAATTCGCGAGGAGCGCCAAAAGTGTATGTTCATGTTTTTTTTCGTCTTCTAGGCAGGGGAGGGGTGCGAGTGCACGCGCGCACGCTGCCCTCGCGACTCGCCGCGGAGTGGAGCCCGAGCCCTTGGGGCAGCAGGGGTCCTCATCCGGCTTACCCACTGTCTCGCATGACGCTTCCAGAGCCCCGTCAGAGGGCGAATCACGCCCACCAACATTCTGAACCTCGACCCTCGCCTTCCCCGTCCGCACCCCTCTCCGCCTCCTCGTCTCCCCGTCGCCTGGGTGTTCGCTCTCAGGAGAGTGCCGCTCCCGCGCAGGGCCTGACGACTTAAAGCCCTCGTCATGCCCATTGATACCCAGCTCTCGCCCCCCCTGGGGATCGATACGGATCTACGATGATCGAGGAGGAGGAGGGTCGAGGAGGATCGAGGAGGAGGAGGAGGAGGAGGAGGAGGAGGAGGAGGAGGAGGAGACAGAGGCGGAGGCGGAGGCGGAGGCGGAGGCGGAGGAGGAGGATGAGGAGGCGGAGGAGGAGTTGGAGGAGGAGGAGGAGGAGGAGGAAGAGGAGGACAAGGAGGTGGAGGAGGTGGAAGCCCCATGGTGACTTTCCCGGACCCGCCCGCAGGAATACCATTCCACACAAGTCCCGCAACCCCTTTTCTCTGGGATCTGCACAGGCATTTTGCTCCACGAGAGCGACGCCCAAACAAGTTCTCCTTCCCCTCCTCTCTCTCTCTCTCTCTCTCTCTCTCCCCCCCTCCTCCTCCCCCTCCCCTCCTGCCCCGAGGCCTCGCAGGCACGCACCTCTCATTCCCTCCCCTTGCTGGAATCGGACCGCAGGACTTCCGCTCGAGGTGAGACCACTCTGACATGCAGTTCTTGTTCTGTTTTGTTATCCTCATTCGCTCTCTCTCTCTCTCTCCCCCTCTCTCTCTCCCTTCTTCCCGCCGTCTTGGGTGCAGTGCCTCTCTGGCACCCCCGAGTGGGAGTTCTGCTCCTGCCGAGGCCCAAGGGTGCGTCTCAGCGGCAGCCGCCTCCGTGGGAGGAGGAAGGATCCAGGGGCGGAGCCCTGGCAGGAAGAGCCCACCATGATCCAATGCATTCGGTCCAGGAGGGAGGGACGACAATGGAGGGGAGTCTCAGGTGTTTCACAACCGCGCTCTCGCTGGATCCAGGGGCGGAGCCCTGGCAGAAAGAGCCCACCATGATCCAATGTGTTCGGTTCAGGAGGGAGGGACGACAAAGGAGGGGGGCCTCAGGTGTTTCACAGCCGCGCTCTCGCTGCATTCCACCTCGAGCTTAGTGTTCCTGCTTCTGTGCTCTTCTTACTGCAACAGAGGTGGTGGTTGGATCTTTTCGAATCGGAGCTCTGTGTTCGTCTTTCAAGGCGGTGCGCCCCGTAGTCGAAAGGATTACTCGCAGGAACTCGTATGGGGGGGTCTTGGGACGGGAGGGTGCACTGCAGCATCGGTCGTGCCTTTGGGCTTACCCTGCTCCTCATCCTCTTCTCTTCCCCCCCGAACTGCAGTCGTCGCCGCCGCCGTCGCCGGTCATGCCGCTGCGGGCGTCCCGTCGCTTGTCGTCGTCGTCGTCGTCGTCGTCGTCGTCGTCGCCGTCCTGGCCGCCGCCGTCGCCGCTGCCGCCCGTGGCTGCTCGTTCTTCCCTGCCTGGACCTCGTGCCCCTTTTTGGGGCGCGCGCGAGGCCAACCAAGAGTCCTGGAGTCCTAGAGTCCCCCCCGCCCTGCCTACAGTCAACCCGCATAGGAAGGATGGACAACCTTCCCCCAAGGAGGAGGGGGAGGGGGAGGAGGAGGAGGAGGAGGAGGGAGGAGGGAGGGGGAGGAGGAGGGGGAGGAGGGAGGAGGAGGAGGGGGAGGAGGGATGAGGAGGAGGAGGGGGAGGAGGGAGATGACGACGACGATGACCACGACGACGACGACGACGCCCGGCCCATGCTTGGCGACTTTCGCTGGCCAACCTCGGTCGGAAACCGTTGACATGTGCCTCCACGGCCCTTGCATCCTTACCGCGTATCCTTATGACACGGGTTGGCGAATCCCCCCCCCCCCCTCCTCCCCTCGCCCCCCCCCCCCGCGGCTCCTCGAAGGGGCTCCCGCTTCCGAGCCCAAACGCTGCCCGCAGGCGGGCCCCGCGCCCCTGGCCCTCTCGCCCAAAAAGGGGCTGCTCTGGTGGGGCGGCGCGCCGGGCTGAGGACTACATCTTCCCGGGCGGCAGCAACCGCATCCTGCTGAAGAGCGAGGAGAAGGCGAGCCCCCGCTAGCTGTCGGCGCCACCCCTTGCGTAGGGTCGCTCTTGCGTAGGGCCGCTCTTGCGTGTAGCCGACCTCTGGAGGTCGATGTTGCGAACAAAGATCAGCAAAGCGGGGGGAGAGGGAAGGGGTGGCTCGAAGGGACGGGGTCTTGCTGGGCGAGCGGCCTCGAGCAGTGACGGCCCAGCTCGGGGTCTCATTCCCCTGTGGTCAGGGTCACCCCAACATACTAATACTACGTGTGCGTCGCCCCCCCAGGGGGGACGCGCGCACCGAGAAGTCTGATAGTGCATGCGTCGTGGCGGGCGCTTTCTGGCCACGCCGCTCGGGGAAACGATTTACTACAAGATGGGTACACTATATGTTCGGGTCGGACGCGTGCCTCCAAGGAGAACATGAAGTACTATTATGTCTGTGTATGTCCCGCCCCCGCTGGCTTCCCCCCTGCCACCCCAGACGTCCGGCGGGTCAGTCACCTCCCTGACGGCCCGAGGGCCGTCCGATTCGGATTGCCCGAGGGCCCACAATGGCAAGATACCAGCCGCCTCGATTTTGCCCGAGTCGCCGGATGTCTTAGAAGAAGAAAAAACGCCATGAGCATAATTTTTTTGCGTCCCGCGCGGATTTCGTGGATCCGCGCTGGGGCCACCCCGGCGGCGCCCCCGGCGCCGCCCCTGGCGCGCTCTCCGCGCCAGGGAGGGGGGTCCAGCGCAGATCCAAGAAACCCGCGCGGAGCGTCAGTTTTTGGTTTTTGTTTTTCTCTTTCTTCTTCTTCTTCTTCTTCTTCGTCTTCTTCCTCTTCTTCTCCTCCTCCTTGTTATTGTTCTTCTTCTTCTTCTTCCTCTTCGTGTTCTTCCTCCTCTTCTGACATCCGCCGTCTCGATTTTGCCTGAGCCGCTGGACGCCCGGGCCCGCCGCGCCACAAGTCGAGCCGGCTCTGCCGATGCCGTGCTGCTCGTGAGCGGGCGGCTCAGGCCAGTGGCTGCCTGCCGTGCGGCTGAGGCCGGCGCGCCTCTCGGTGCGAGTGCGGCGGGCTCTGCCGCCGACGGCCCCGGGCGGACCTGCGACGAGGCCTCCTTCGGTTCTCTTGATCCTCACTCCTCCTCCCCCTCCTCCTCTTTCTCCTCCTCTTCCTCCTCCTTCTCCTTCTCCTCCTTCTCCTCCTCCTCCCCCTCCTCCTCCTCCTCCTCCTCCTCCTCCTCCTCCTCCTCCTCCTCCTCCTCCTCCTCCTCCTCCTCCTCCTCCTCCTCCTCTCCTCCTCCTCCTCTCCTCCTCTTCTCCTCCTCCTCGATCCTCCTCCTCCTCCTCCTCCTCCTCCTCCCTCTTCTCCTCCTCCTCCGCACTCGTCCTCCCCGTCCCCTCCTTCGAAGCAGGACAAACCGCTCTGCAGTGGAGACCGATGCCAAGAAGCACCCTGCTTCCCCCAGGGTGCCCTGGGTTTCTTGGGTCTTGATGGTTTTGCTACGGAAAGCGTGACGCTCCCACACCGAAAATCCATGGACGTCCTGGGGTCTCAGGGTTGGGTTTCTTGTGCAAGGTTTCTTGTGGACTGGCCTCCACTGTGCACAATAACTTTATGCGCTCCGCGCAGATTTCTTGGATCCGCGCTGGGCCCCCCCCAGCGGCGCCTCCGGCGCCGCCCCCTGCGCGCTCCGCGCGCCAGGGAGGGGTGTCCAGCGCAGATTTCAGAAATCCGCGCGGAGCGCCAACAGTTTAGGTTTATGCAGTTTTTTTTCTTCTCCTGCCTCTTCGTCTTCCTTCCTCCCTTCCCGTGCTCAGTAGTATATCCAACATCGTCTGGAGGCCATGGCCTCGCTCACCGGGTCTTCTGTAAGGCCAGGCGACGGGCCGCCGCGGTGGTCTGTGTGTTCTTGTTTGTTGTTCATCCCCGCCCTCCCTCTCCTTCTCCTTCTGCTCGTCCCCCTTCCCTCGCTTTCCTCACTCAGGGTCTGCGGACCGTCTGACAGCTCAAAGTCTTCAGTGTGTGCGCATGCCCCTCACTGGTGCGTTCCTTCTGCTGTTAACTTCTGCAACTGCTCGTCTGCTCGCAGCAACAACTACTTTTCCACGTGGCCCGAGGTAACACGACATGTCTCGCGAGGCACCACACGCAATGTACCGCACGATCACCCAACACAGCGCAGTACATGGTGGACCACACAGCGCGCGCCCTATACAGCACAAAATGCAATGCCCAAACCCGCAGCCGACAGCGCAGCGCGCAGCTAACAATGCACAGCACGCTGAGCACACCGTGAGGGACGGACGTGTACGGTGCCAAGAGCCTCCAGCAAGCTGATGGGCGCACGCCCACGGGGTACATCCTGTAAGTCTTCAATTGCATGCTGCATTGCGTGATGCATTACTTCACGCAACCTCCCTCGTAACGCGTCCGATGGCCTCCTATGGAGCGCGGCAGGGAGGAGACAGACAGATAGACAGAGAGACAGACAGGGGTCCAGGGCTGGGCTTATGAACGGGCGAGACTAAATTGCGTTTGACAATGTATGTTTGTCCACTTCGAAGAGGAAGCACTGTGCGATGGGAGGCGGGGCAAGGTGTTGGCCCTCAGGGTTGCAGGCAGTTCTTGGCGAATGCACCTCCATTATTCTCTTTTGCAGCTCTGGGATTCTTTGCTCACCCCTACCAGTCTATCCAGTAGCGATTCCCAGGCGAGTTGTCGTGAGAAGGGAAGTGGAGGAGAGTGTTCAAGCAAAGAGGGGGGATATCAGTCAAAGCAAAGGCGGGATCAGCCAAGGACCCCCCTGAGTGACCGACTTGGGACCCTCTGGCCTCTTGGAGCAAACGTGGGGCTCTTCTGGGAGCCTTCGCGGCCCTGTTGGGGCTCTCGTTTGGCCCTTTAAGGAGCCTTTTCGCCCTACACTAGATGATCAGCGGCAAGACTCTGGCATCTTTCTGTCGACGGCCAGTATTTCGGGTCTGGAGGCAGCAAACCTGTAGTGCGTCGATCCCACCCCTTCTCCATGAAGACGCTACTTCTTCTGCTGGTGCTGCCCCTCCTCTTCACCTGCATGCCAGATTATTCTCTACGATCTGACGGCCCGCAAGATCGTGGACGAGGCCGCTGTGCCAGGTGGAGTGCGCTACGTTATCTGGTCACATTCAGGTTTCGGGGGGTTCGGGCGAGAGAGAAGTGGCAACGAAGACGAGGGAGGAGAATGAAGACGAGCAGGAGGAGGGGTCTGCTCACACTCCTCTTGCTGGTGCTCTTCCTCTTCTTCCACATGCCAGCATGCCTCAGCGTGACGGGGCCTCGTGCCATGGCAAGTATTTTCTTTTTGCGGGTACTTTCCGCGTTGGCTCCATGGCGCTTTTGGTGGTCCTTTCCCTTCCCTTCCTCCCACTGGGATGCAAGCAGGGGATCAGAAACCCGATTAGCTGCCCTTTGCGCTTGAGGGGGGAGAGGGGGTCTCAATATCACCCCCCTCCCTGGCCCCCCTTCCTCCTGGCGCTGGCAATCAACGACCGCAACGACGACGACCAACGATGGCCGACCGACCGACCGACGACGGCGCCCGACGCCCGACGACTGCGACGACCGACGATGACGACATCGGGCCGGCCCGACCAGCCAGACGAAAACCCGCTCGCCCGCTTGAATGTTCCGCCCGCCCGACCCGCCCGTTGGGGTCTGCCCGCCAGAACCGCCCGTCAGGGTTCACCTGTCTGACCTGCACGTGAGGCTCCGCTCGCTCCTGTGCGTGGAAGCCCACCCGCTCCCGTCCTGCCCACCCACCCCGACCCGCCCGTCCTGGTCCGTTCGCTCGCTTGCATGTAGACCCAACCGCCTTTTACGCCTTAAAGGGGTGGTGGGATTACGCTTGGCGACGTTTAGAAATTCCAAAGGAACTTCATACTCGCGACCAGCAGCACGCTCTCATCCACTGTGCATCTGGCCTGGCAGTACGTTATCAGGACGTACTTCAGGATGAAGGGGGCGATTGCGGTCAGGTTGGCTCTGAATGTGCACTCGCTGCCCCCATTTACGTATGCCGACAGCTGTGCGCTCAATTCCGGCAACGGGGACAAGCCTGGCTTCCACTATCACGAAGCAATCGGCGCAGCGTCACTAGTTGTCGGCCAGCATCGCTGGCAACTCCAGCGACAGGCGGCAATTGATGATAGTTGGGGAGAGCGAACAGGGCGACATCGGTGCGATGATGTTGGACACCTGGCGTGATGAATCACGTGTGGAACTTGCTCTTGCAGTGAATTGCGAACAGCTCAACGGAAGACTTGTGGCGATGACGCCCATCTAGGAGGCCATCGGTCAAACAAGGAGCGGCATCAACCAGGCCCCCCCCCATCGGAGGCCGAACAAAATGCTCTTGGGGCTCTCTTGGGACGCTCTTGGACCGCTCTTGGGTGCTCCTGGGGCCCTCTTTGGGCCCTCTCGGGTCCCCGTTGGGGCTCTCTTTGACCATCGTTGGGCCACCTTGAGGCCTCAGAGGCCCGCAGGGAGCGAACAGGCGAGAAAACACACAGTATGGTTTTTTGGGGCGATGTTCGCTTGTTGGGCGGCTCCTGTGGAGGCCCCAGCGGCACTTGGGGCCGTCTTGGGGCCGTCTTGGGGTCTCTCGGAGGAATGTCGGAGACCATATTGAACCATCTTCAGCTCTCTTGGGCCATCTCGGAGGTCATTCTGCGGCATCGGGGGCCATCTCGGGGCCGTCTGGGGTCTTCTCGGACGCTCCAACCCCTCACGGCGGAGGGGCGACCAGACCCAGGTGAGGGCGAAGGATGAGGGGTAAACTTCTCCTTTGGATAGGTGAAGAAGGGCTGTGTTGGAAGAGGGGAGAGAACGCTTGGTGTACCACCTCCACCAAGAGGGCTGGTGGGATCGACCACTGAGCGAACCCTGCGTGGTCGTATTGCCTTGATCCGTGAGTTTGTGAGAGAGTAAGTTGGTGCACGACGTCGATTGGTGTGACGCACGTGATATGACTTCTGACGGCCGCGCAATGGTGGAGTACATCTCGTCAGTTACTTCAGGCGGTTATGGATGATAAGCATCGGTTCGAACATATGCGACGTCGTGTTGGGCCGTATTGGGGTAACTCAACAATGCTTAGGAATTTGACCACCAAGTTGGTGGAGGTCGACGGACAGTATGAGCCACTGCACTGCCCGCAGAAGTTGGGCAAACAAGTGTTCTTATCAATTGTTTGCAGTGTGCGCTCGCACGAACTCTGCGTGCATCTGCCGAGGAGCGCTTCGCGCCTTTATACTGATTCTCGCACAGCTTTCAGAAGACACTTGAATTATATGCTGTATGTTGTTTGGGCTTCTTGGGGCGGGGCAAGTAACATGCCTGCCGCGTAGTTGGGCCAGCTCCACCCAGCAGCCGCGTGCTTTTGTTAATGATCTTGCCCTGTGCGCCTGCTGCCGATGCTCGCCGCCGTCCTCTCTTTGGCATAAGTGCATTTCCTGCTTGTGGGCTGGCGTAGTGCGGGCTCAATTCTGTGAGTTTATCACATCGCCAATCTTCTGCGTACCGTGCCATCTTTACCTTAGCCCAACATGCATAGATGTTGCATGAATTTCGGACGAATTCCCGGTTTTGCCGGCTATTCCTTCCATGCTCTTTTGGTGTATGTATTGTTCCTTTCGTTTTCATTTTCGTCATTATTTTTGTTGGTTTTGTTTGAACATTCGTTGCTGGGGGCCGGGATAACCGTGGTTGCCGCCGGAGAAGCGACAGTGCAGATCTTCGTCGGTTGTCTTTCTTCTCTTCCGTCTCGTCCTTGTCGTCGAATTCGTCCTTGTCGTCGTTGACCTCCACCTTCGCTCGTCCGCGCACGAAGGAGGACGATGGAGGACAAGGGAGAGGTTTTTGGCCTGGTCTGCCGAGTCCAGATGACTTGTCCGCGGCGTCAAACTGGCGATGTTTGGGGCGTGGGCTTGTTTCTCTGTGGCATGCTGGGCCTGAGAACACACACACGTACACGCCCACACGCACACACCACACACAACACACAACACACAACACACAACACACAGCACACACGACACAGTACACAACGCACAACACACAAGACACAACGCACACAACACACATAATACACAGCACACAACACGCAACACACAGCACACAACACACAACACACAACACACAAACATACAACGCACAACACACAGCACACAGCACACATAACACACATCACACAAACACACACACACACACACGCAAACACACACATGCACTTACACACGCACGCACGAAGACAGACAGACAGACAGACAGACAGGCAGGCAGGCAGACAGACGGACACACACAGACAGGCAGGCACACAGAGACAGACAGACAGACAGACAGAGACAGACAGGCAGACAGAGACAGACAGACAGGCAGAGACAGACAGACTGGCATCCAGGCAGACATACACACTTACACTCACGCGTTTACATACATATGTACATGGACTCCCCACACAGTGCTTGTACTTGGGGGTTCTTACTTGTGTTTTAACGAGCTGAAGGTCGGTCTGGCGGCTATGTGGTCATCGTCGCCGCCCCGTCGCCGCCTCGTCGCCGCCCATCGTCTGGGCCCAAAGGTCGGTCAGCTGGCTATGTTGCCGCAGTTTCCCCATCGCCGCCTCGTCGCCGCGCGTCGTCTGTGCCTGTCTGTCGGTCTGGCGGCGATGTTGTCGCAGTCTCCGCCTCGTCGCCGCCCCGTTTTGCCTCGTCGCCGCTGTTCAATGCATTGCGTAGATTGCACAACATCTAGTGCACCACATCAACTGCACAATGTAGATCGCTTCACACACTTTGCACAACATATACAGCTCCACATATGTTGCACAACACAGGTTGCACAACATATAGTGCACCACATATATTGCACAACGTAGACTGCACAACATATTGCACCACGCACACTGCACAATGTAGACCGCTTCACACACGTTGCGCAACATATATAGCTCCACGTAGCCTGCACAAAACAGGTTGTACAACGTATATTGCATCACATGTATTGCACAACGTAGACTGCACAACATATATGGCACCACGCACACTGCACAATGACTATTGCACTACATCTATTGGTCTTCATATATTGCACCACGTATACTGCATCACATGGTTCCTCCACATATATTGCGCCACGTAGTTTGCAACACATGATCGCACCACAAATATTGCACCACAGAGGTCATTGCGCCACATAGATTGTACCACACATGTTGCACAACGTAAATTGCAGTACATAAGTGAAGCCGTATATCTTGCAACACGTACGTTACATTTCTTATCTTCTCGTTTTCCACAATGAAAAAATTAGAATCCACCACCCCCGCGGGTTTACTGGCCTTCCCTGGGGTAGCACGATTTACGTATGATTCTGCCCTATTGACCATCGTACGTATGAGTGTAGACCATCCCTGACACGCCGTGGTCGACACCACCTCATCCCTTTGAATTTTTGTTCGCGCACATTCGTTTATCACAAATCATCAATTTTCTAGACTCCCTTGCAAACAGCGAAGCAATATCCACGCGCGCGTCGTCGCAAACGCATGTCGAAATCTTTCAACATCCGCAGGAGTCGTACGGGTTGCAATGTGTAGGTTCCCGAGATCATGTAAGCCAACAGCGGTTTTGCAACATGTTTGTCTCAAAGGAAGTGCGCACGCTCTTGCGAACCCCTGCGGGGACCTGCGTTTTTCCGTCGTTCTCATCAAATGAGGCCACGCGGGCTCGTCGCGCGCGCATGCCGAAATCATTCGAACACCTTTGCGCGCTTGCTGGGGTGGCACGATCAGTGTCAAATCTCACTATGCGGGCCACTCGCACCCGGCGGCCGCGCGCGCATGTCGAACTCCTTCCAACACTTTCCTCACCGTCACGTGGACACCATCATCGTCATCGGCGAGGTCAGCGTCGGCGCCGTCATTGGCCTTGCATGGGTTTTGTAAGCCATGTTGCGGGTGTGTGGGTGGGATGCTTGCGCGAGCAGCGGAGCGAGTTGCGCGTGGTGAATTGCACCACGTAGATTTGCACCGCATATTTCGCACATTGTCGACTGGTTCACATACGTTGCATCACATCGACTGCGCTACCTTAGGTGCACCACGCACGCACGCATATATATATATATAGATTGCACACCGCATTTTCACTTTTTTACACAAAGAATTCGCGTCGCCCCCGCCCCCGGGATCATCGATCCACCCTGGCGATGTGCAGTTTACGTATGATTCAGCCCCAACGTTCGTCAGTATGAGCTCTTTTCATGCCAGCCAAACCAAATTATACACCTTCACGATCCTGGTTAGATGGTACGATGCGCGCGCACTCGTTTACCAACAACCATCAGTTTGCAAAGATTTTTGGCAACCGACGGGACGAAAAGCTCACGCGAGCGTCGTCGCGCGCATGCTGAAATCCATCAAAAACCATAAGCTCCACAAGGACTTCAACATCGAGTGTCTTGCAACATTTCAAACACACGGTCTTACAACGCGATGATTCGAACAATGTTTGCGCGCGTGCTCTTGCAACTTCTTCAGGAGCCTATGGTTGTCAACGGTTTCATCGACTGCGGTCAAACGAACTTTTCGCGCGCGCATGTCGGAACCGTTTGGACAACCTTGAGCGCGTGCTTGGGGATGGTGGTGGTGGCACGATCCTTGTCAAATATCACTACGCGGGCCACTCGCGGCTGGTGGCCGCGCGCGCATGACGAACTCATTCCACAATTTTCATCACCGACATGTGGACGCCATCATCATCATCATCGGCGAGATCAGCATCGGAACCGTCATTGGCCTTGCCGTCGTCGTTTCATCATTGTCACCCGCATCGCTACTATCATCATCGTGTCTGCCGTTGTCGACGTTGCCATGATACCGCGCCTGTCCGAGTCACCGACTCGTGCTGTAATTCCCGCGTGAGCGCGGCCTGCGAAACGCGGTGGGAGTCCCGAGCGTTCAGCGCCACCGCGGCCGCGTCGGCATCGCCAGAGTAGCTGGCTTTTTTGCTCGCGAACCTGCGCGTGCTGGCGCGGCCGCAGCGATGCGCCAGCCAGCGCCAAGTAGTCACCGCAATCGCCGCCGCATGGGTTTTGCAAACCATGTTGCGGGTGGGTGGGTGGGTGAGCGGGATGATGGTGCGATCGCTGTAGTTGACAAGTTCAAGTTCGGCAGTGTGAATTGCACCACAAAAAATGCACCGCGTAAGTTGCTCCACGTGGGGTGCACCACGTAGATTGCACCACGTGGACTGCGCCACTTAGATTGCACAATCTAGGTTCCCCCCCCACACATGTAACATATGGGGTCCACGCTGGCTAAAGCACGCAAGTATGTACGTATGTATGCAGGTATGTATGTATGTGTGTGTATGTATGTATGTATGTATGTATGTATGTATGTACGTCCGTATGTTTGTATATGAGTATATGTACACAAAGATACATTCAACGTCGTCAAACAATGCTATCACTTGGTGGTTTTGGCGTTGATCATTAAGACTTTGACGTTGCGCTGGTCTGGCCGTTTCGTGGCCGCTCGTCGCCGCCCGCCGCCGCCGCCCGTTGCCGCAACATGGTGGTCACGATTCTGAATGTGTGAGGCCCGCAATTGGGATTGTGCCGGTCCGGCCGGCTTGTGGCCGCTAGCCGCCGCCCGTCGCTGCCGTCCGTCGCCGCATCTTTCTGGTCAGCATTTTGATTGTGTGAGGCCAACATTTTGCACCATATATCTTGCATCACATACCGCACACAACATACATTGCACCACATAGGCCGCATCACATAGAATCCACCACATGGCTTGCACCATATATATATATATATATATATATATTTATGGTACTACGAATATTGTACCACATAGCGTGCACCACGTATATTTCGCCACGTAGCTTGCACCATTCAGCTTGCACCGTGTGTAAATATATACGTGTAGTATTTTTGGTATACGTATATAGACACATACATTACCACATGTACATACGTAATATAAAATTATAGATATTCATGTACATGCGTATCCGTAGATGTATATGTACATCTATATATGTGTATGTATATGCGTTTGTATATACATGGATATGAATATGCATATGTACATGTACATGCATGTGTACACGTGTATGTTTATCTGTACGCATGTGTTTATGTATATGTCTAAGATATGCATATATACATACACACGTATGCATATGCATTTGTATATATATATATATGTTTGTGTGTATATATATGTATAAGTATGTGCATATGTGCACGCGTTAGTATATGTACATGTATATGTATATGTACATGTATGCATCTATGCATATTCATACATGTATGTATATATGTGTGTGTGTATATTTATAATTCCATGTCTATGTTGATGTACATGCAAATGCATATGTCTACGCATATGTATACATGTGCTCATGTGCATATATGTATGCATATCTCTATATATGTATATACGCATGTGTATATGTATGTGTATGTGTATTTGTATATGCACACAAGTATGTGTGGATGCATATATATATATGTGTGTATGCATATGTATATGTAAATGTACGTATTATATATGTGTACCTGACTGCGTATATGTATATGTGTAGGTTTGCGCACATGTATGCGTGTGTTTGTGAATGTATATGTACATGTCCATGTCTCTGTCTTTGTATATGTGTATGGTTATGAGTATGATTATGATTATGATCATGATTATGTTTATGTATATGTTTATAGATCTGTAGATGTATCTGTAGATGTATATGTAGCTGTAGCTGTAGCTGTAGATGTAGATGTATATTCAGATGCCGATGTGGAAGTATATGAAGGTCCCAGCACGCACCATGAAGCCCCCTTTTCTCTTGGAAGATGCCAAGAGAAAATGGGGGTGGAAGGCGCGCGCTGCAACCGTAAAGGAAGAAGTGTGGCAGAACGGTTGGTTGTGTGATGGAGAAGACAGGTGTGCAGTATCGGGTGGAGTATTGGGGACGGGGGGTGTGGAGCACAGGATGGTGTGAAGGAGACGGAGGGAGTATATACAAGGTTACTTTCAAGTTCAACTTGGGGAGGAAGCCTGTTGAGTATCGGGTGGTGTGTTGGAGACGGAGGGTGTTGAGTACTGGATGGTGTGTTGGAGACGGAGGGAGTTGAGTAGAAGGTTATTTTCAAGTTCAGCTTGGGGAGGGAGCCTGTTGAATATCGGGTGGTGTGTTGGAGACGGAGGGGGTTGAGTAGAAGGTTATTTTCAAGTTCAGCTTGGGGAGGGAGCCTGTGGAGTATCGGATGGCGTGTTGGAGACGGAGGGTGTTGAGTACTGGATGGTGTATAGGAGACGGAGGGAGTTGAGTAGAAGGTTATTTTCAAGTTCAGCTTGGGGAGGGAGCCTGTTGAGTATCGGGTGGTTTGTTGGAGACGGAGGGTGTTGAGTACTGGATGGTGTGTTGGAGACG